ATCTTCTTTGAAGAAATGTCTATTGGATTCTTTGCCCATTTTTAAATTGGATTGTTTTATTATGGGTTCATGTTTAATTTCTGTTACTTTAAGTATCTTAAAGAGAGTGATTATATTTGGACAAAATCATGAATTCTGGAGTCATATTCCACTATTTGGTTATCCAGCCCCATCATAACTGTATGACTTGGCAAGTTACTTAATTTTCCCACAGCTCAGTTTTCTTATCTGTAAAATAGAGATAATAATACCTACCCTTATAGAATGAGTATGAGGATTAAATAAAATAATGACTACAAAGCTCTTAGGACAGTGCCTGGCACTTAGAAAACCACCAATAAATGTTAGGCCTTATTTTTAGTTATCTCTATACATTTCCAATGTATAGTTCACTTTTTTACACACAAAAGGTGCTCCATGAGTATTTGAGAATGAATAAATTGGGGACTAGAAGTATTTTAACTTGTTTATAGTTGTTGCTATGACTATCTATGAAAATAGACATTTTTCCAAAGAAGACATCCAAATGGCCAACAGACACATGAAAAAGTGCTCAACATCACTCGGCATCAGGGAAATCCAAATCAAAACCTCAATGAGATACCCCCTCACACCAGTCAGAATGGCTAAAATTAACAAGTCAGGAAATGACAGATGTTGGCGAGGATGCGGAGAAAGGGGAACCTCCTACACTGTTGGTGGGAATGCAAGCTGGTGCAGCCACTCTGGAAAACAGTCTGGAGGTTCCTCAAAAAGTTGAAAATAGATCTACCGTATGACCCAGCAATTGCACTACTGGGTATTTAACCCAAAGATACAAATGTAGTGATCCAAAGGGGTATGTGCACCCCAATGTTTATAGCAGCAATGTCCACAATAGCCAAACTTTGGAAAGAGTCAAGATGTCCATCAGCAGATGAATGAGTAAAGAAGATGTGGCATATACATACAATGGAATATTATGCAGCCATCAAAAAATGAAATCTTGCCATTTGCAACAACGTGGATGGAACTAGAGGGTATTATCCTAAGCAAAATAAGTTAATCAGAGAAAGACATGTATCATATAATCTCACTGATAACAGGAATTCTTAATCTCAGGAAACAAACTGAGGGTTGCAGGAGTGGTGGGGGGTGGGAGGGATGGGGTGGCTGGGTGATAGGCATTGGGGAGAGGGTATGTGCCATGGTGAGTGCTGTGAATTGTGTAAGACTGATGAATCACAACCTGTACCTCTGAAACAAATAATACATTATATGTTTAAAAAAAAAAGAAGAAGATAGTAGGAAGGGAAAAATGAAGGTGGGGAAATTGGAGGAGGAGACGAACCATGAGAGACTATGGACTCTGAGAAACAAACTGAGGGTTATAGAGGGGAAGGGGGTGAGGGGATGGGTTAGCCTGGTGATGGGTATTAAAGAGGGCACATATAACACTGGGTGTTATACGCAATGAATCATGGAACACTACATCAAAAACTAATGATGTAATGTATGGTGATTAACATAATAAAATTTAAAAAAAAGAAAAGGTAAAACAACGCTATTATGGAACATATGCTGAGCAAGTGGATAAAATTAAAAAGATATATAGTCACTCAAAATCCCAAAACAGTCACCGAGGGAAACACCTCCTCAGGTATGAGAAAAACCCCTAAATGGAGCGCCTTCGTTGGGAGTAATCATCAGGATGCTTTTATAGCTCTAACAAATGCTTAGCCAAAGACATCTAGATCTGAAAATGCCATGTCATTATTTGAATCTTCAAAAAATTTCAATAAAGAAGACTGGCTTGGGGAAAGATACTCAGGAAAGCTTCTTAATCTATCAATTCTCCAGCAAGAATACACTAAGGCAGAGAAAGAAACTGCTAACAATAACCAAACTGTAGACCTTAACTGACAAAACTGGCTGCAAACTCACTCTGGGCCCCTGTAAACATAGAGGCCATTGTCTCCTCATGATGAATTCAAAGACTACGGCTCCCTCTGCCTTCAGTGCTGCTTTAAACAGAGAATAACTGGCTTTTTGAGATCTGGGCTACAGTTGGTAGGAAGATGGCAGAACTTTAAGCCATCCAGGCCAAATTGGATAAACCAACCTGAGATTCAGCAATGGAAAGAATTCAAAGTAGCTGACCTTCATCTGACAACTAACGAGGAGACATGGAGTCAGAAGAGGAGGGAGAGAGATGGATTGAAATAACGAAAGCAGTGCTTCAGAATGCCTATCAGTATCCAGAGGTAGCTGGGTTGAAGGCAGAAATCCAGTTTAGCAGGCCTAGTGTCTTGCTATGACTAGGAGACAAGACAACAAGCATAAATTTGGGGAGTCAAAACTCAGGGGCAAGGAGAGTTCAGACCAACCTCTCAAACTGTAATCCCTAAAAGATGGCATGACCCAGGCAGAAAACCACAGTTTATGCAGGAAATTGTGCCATCATGAGTAAAGACTGTTCTCAACTTTCTTTTTACCCCGATCATGATAAAATAAGTGTGAGAGAATAATAGTTTTAACAATAACTACTATTACTATTACTGCTAATAATAATTGCCACTACTCATGGAGTATTTACTTTGAACTAGGTACTATGGTAAGCACTTTAGATTTAACCTTATAATGACTCTATGAAACAGATAATATTCTTCATAATCAAAGCTCAAAGAGAATTAAATAAAAATCTGATTTCCAGTGGTGGGATCTGAAACCTAGACCTTATAAAAGCCATGCTTTAACATCAGTATGTTGCCTCCCAGCTAGTATGGTTTACAAAAGGATTCTCTACTCAGCTTATTTCCTGGTTTTTCTGCAGTCAATTGGGCAATAAGGCCATCTTAATCAGGTATGCCAAAACCTATTCATGCATTTATTTCATTTACTATTTATTGAGCACATACTATGTCTCAGGGAGGGGTGTCATGATAAATAGACACAGTACCTGCCCCCAGGAAACGTAGGCAGGGTGGCTGAAGGAGGAAGTGCCCTTCATTTGATGTCCCTTCTTTTTTCAATAACATCCTAATCAGGAGACTTATCCTGAAATATAGTCAGTTTGACCCAAGAGTCACTTGATGGTTAAGTTTTGATAAGTGGACAAATATGCCATATACTCTCACAATTCCCTGAAATCCATATCCCTCTCCCTAGATAATGCACTTCGCTGTCTCCTCTTCCCTTCACACTCTCCAGTGCTCCCCCTGCGTCTCTGAAATCTCCTTCAGCTAGCCACAAGACCGAGCCCATCGCTGTGAAGGACAAGAAGGCACCAATGCTCCTTCACCTCCCACAGGGTTTTCAGAACTCTCCAAGCTGCCTGATAGTTTCAAGGCCCACTATAGTGGGCCCGCTGAATTTAGATTTATCTGGCTGCAAGGAAGAGAGATGCATCCATGGTAGCTGAGATAGGGCTTATTATAATGAGCAATAAGGGGATTCTTATATTAATTTGAACATTTCTTCAAAACTTTCTATCAGGCAGCTTCATTCTCTACTATTTGAGGCTATTTCCATCTTTCCCCCTTCATTTCACTGATTTGTAACCTTAACTATTTCTGAATCACATTCAAATCATTTTTTTCTCATAGTAAATTTCTGTCACTTAATTTTTATCACAGACACACAGCACATTTTAAAAGCATTATTTATATACTTTTATATAATAAAAGTATTATTTTAAGTATTTGCAATTTTCACATATGAGGGCTCCTGCCAGTATGTGATCCTGATCCAAGATAAAGTCTAATTTTTAAGAGGACCCTTTTGAAACAGGTTTTGAAACATTCTATTTCTGGTCTTAAAAGTCTTAAAAACATTCTATTTCTGATTTAAAATGACAAAGTATGTCCTCCTACTTACTGTAACTCAGGCAGAAATTAAAATTTGGCAGCAGGTAAGAGGAATAAAGTTTCTCACACAAATGAGTGACAAGAAAAAAAGTTACTTTATTCTTTTTAGGAGAAAGGCAACTTAATGTCATTGATTATATACAATTTTTGAACAATTATATGCATAAAGTTTGTAAAAAATTGTTAAATATTTTTCTCATTTCTACTCATGACTTTCCAAAATTATGAAAAGTAATTTCAGAAAAGACTGAGCTTAGGGCAAATATGTTAATTAGAAGTACTAAATTAAAGCCAGCGTCGGGATTTTGCCAGTTAATTGTAGTTTTAACCCGCAGTAAAATCTCACTGCTTTCCTAGTTCTTAAACTGATCAATTAATTTGAGCTATCTCAAGTTAACGAACCTCTTCCATGGCTCCCAAATTCATTTCCAGCCACTACAACTTAAACCAAAACCACAGAAATGCTTCTATAGCTAAAATGTAGAAACATCTTTACTTGGTATACCTTACTTTTATCGGGTTTCAAAAAGAAATTAATCCTGCAGGCAAACAGGGCAAGTAATTATCCGTGCTCTACGGATGGAGAAACTGAAATCAAATTCTTTGTCCAAGGACACAAGGCTTATTTAATAGCAGAACCCGAGGTAGGATCCAGGGGTTCTGATTTCTAGTCCAGCTGTCTTTGCACTTTGAAGTCGGCTTGGTTAATCCCGCGCCTTTAAATTCCTGGGGCTTGCTGTAATGAAGCTGACTCACCACTAAATTCCTGTGTTCTCACTGAATCCCGCAGAGTAGGGGCCCCACTCCCAAACTGGGAACCAAGGGGGCGGTGCACCATGACGCGCAAACCCTCAAGGCCAGATAAGCAAACAGTCCTCGGGCTGTTTACCGAGGCAGTCCTGCACTCTGAGGACAGGTAAACCAGACTCCAGGGACTATAAACCGCCCCCGTTCAAACCCTCCGCGGTTCAAAGGACAACTTCGCAGCCACCCGGCCTCTGCCCCCGCCCGCACCCCTTCTCGGTGCCGCGCGCCACGTGAGACGCAGCCCGGCCCCCCGAGCGGCGCGCGCACCCCGCCGCCTAGCGTCGCGTGACTCGGCTGGGGCGCGCGGGGTTAGCGCCCGCCCGCGCCACTTCCGACGCAGCCCTCGGTTCAGGTTCCGGGGCGTCGCGGAGCTCCCGGCCTGTGGATCGCGCGGGGCGCTCTTCGGTTCCGGGGCCACGCGCCCCGCGGCGGCCGGGATGGAAGAGGCCGGAGCGGCGGTGGCCACGGCGGGGGAGGCCGAACTGAATTTGGCCCGCCTCAGCGTGTCTCCGGAGACTCTGGAGTTGGAGCTGGAGGCGCGGGGCGAAGAGCGGCGCGGCGCCCGTGAGGCGCTGCTCCGGCTGCTACTGCCTCATAACCGTCTGGTGTCGCTGCCGCGGGCGTTGTGCAGCGGCTTCCCGCACCTCCAGCTGTTGGACGTGAGCGGCAACGCGTTGACCGCGCTGGGGCCAGAGCTGCTCGCGCTGAGCGGCCTGCGCACGCTGCTGGCCAAGAACAACCGGCTCGGCGGGCCCGGCGCGCTGCCCAAGGGCCTGGCCCAGTCGCCGCTCTGCCGCAGCCTCCAGGTGCTCAACCTCAGCGGGAACTGCTTCCAGGAGGTGCCCGCGTCGTTGCTGGAGCTGCGCGCGCTGCAGACCCTCAGCCTGGGCGGCAACCAACTGCAGAGCATCCCGGCCGAGATCGAGAACTTGCAGAGGTGAGCGGGGCCCTGCCCCAGAGTAGGGAAGCCCCGGGCGGTGTCCAGGAGCCCCGGAGCGCTAGGCTTGGTCTTTTGTCACGTAACCAACCGTCTGCCTCCAGGCTCGCTCTTTAACTCTTTGGCGGTGATCACTGCCGGGCCATCTCTGCGAGTTGTAAGTGAAGATTCGGTACGATCGCGTGTGTGACAGCGTTTGGGACTGTGTTTGCCCTAAGTAGATTTTCGAGGTAGTTTTTCTTTTTTCTTGGGTTCCGGGGGTAGGGGGAGTGATCCCAACTGAGTAGGTACTCAAACAGATGTCAGTCTGAGGTGGTCACTTCCTTGCTTTGACGTCTGTGGGGGGTTTTCATGCCTTTTAGCGTGACAGACAAGATACTCTGACCAAACCCTTGCTTTCCATTCCATTTCCTGCTGTCCTTTCTCTGTAGCAATACTAGCACTGTTGGTGAAGTTCAGTGAGTCATGCAGTTTACCAACACCTTAATGGCACTTACTAAATACATGGTGAATGGATGCAGGGCCTCTGTTCATATGCAGTTCCCTTTGCCTGGAATGTTGCCTGCACCTGGCAAACTCCTATTCATCCTTCAGAACCTATTGCCAGGGTTGTCTGTCTTCTTCCTTTACTGGTCCCTGGACAGTTATTGACTGAACTGTACTTCCTGTGTACCTCTTTCATCCTGCCATTGCATTTACCTTATTGATTATAATTCCTTGTTCAGAGGTCTGCCTCACCCACTAGATTATTCAGTAAATATATGTTGAATTAAATGGAGAGAGGAAACGGAGAGGCAGGATAGCAAAAGTCTCCTAAAAGTGCTCTGCAGGGGTGTGAGAAATAGAGCAAAAGCAAGTGTATTGTCCAAAGTGAAAAAAAAAACCAAAATGTTTGTCATCTGTAAAATATTTTCACATCCTTTATTGAGTTTTCTGGGATAACAGACTATTAGAGCTAGAAAGAGGTAAGTGTAGTGAAAAGAACATTGACCTGAGAATAAGAACTCTTGGTGTCCCAGCCTTAGGCAGGTCACTTAACATATCCTGACCACAGCTTCCTAATCTGCAAAATAAGGCATTTGGACAAGATGTCCATTGACTCATCAACATATTTATGAAGTACTTAAACCATGTGTCAGGCACTGTCCTAGGTACTGGGGATGCAGTGGTAAACATGGTCCTGTTTTCATGGAGTTAACCTACTAATAGGAGACATTAAACAATGAATTATAAACCTCATTTTTTAATTACAGTTTTGAAAAGTTCTATGAAGACAAATGAAGTGCCTTGAAATAACAGAGGGACCTGACTTAGTTTGGTCCTTGAACAGGTAACATTTGAATTGAGAATGGAGAATTGAGAATTTTGAAGGAAGAATAAGAATTAACTAGGCAAGGGTGGGTGGGACCAGTCTAGGTAAAAGGAACAGTGCATGTAAAAGCCGGAAGGCGAGAGGGACTGAAGGCCAACATTTTGAAAGGAGGACATTGTACTAGAGCATAGTGAGAAAGTGGCCAAGAGTGAAAGTTGGCAAATAGAAACTTGGACCAGTCCCAGGCCATGTTGGATCTTGAAGGCCATGGTAAAGTTTGGATTTTATTCTAAGTACACATAGGAAAGTTTTAAGCACATCAGCCTTGTTGCTGTGCAGCAGTGGAGTGGGGAGAGGGTGGAGAGACGAGATTTTGAGGGCTGGTTAGAAGGAGGTCATTCTAGTACAATGAGAGATGATGGTCACTTACACCTGTGTGATGCTAAGAGAGATATTAAGAAATAGAAAAGTTGGAAAGAGATTTAGACATAAAATTGACAGTCCTTGGTTCCTCCTAATTTTGAAGTTACATAATTCCACCCTTCCCATTTGAGTCTTCTTAATATACTAAGAAAAACCTAGAGCAATTATTTCCATCACATGGGGGAAAAGGTAGGCAAAAATCCTATTTATTGAGTACTTACAATGCTGTAGGCCCTGTAGTAGAGACTCTAAATACCCTTTTTAATTCTCACAATGCCTATGTGAGATGAGAGGAAGAAACTGAGGCTTTGAGAGGCTAAGTTAAAAGAACCCAAAGCCAATGAGTGGTGGAACTGGATTTGATCTCTGGGATCTCTGAGTCCAGACCCAAGAATTTTCCGCTGTGACAGAATAGGGCTAGAACCTAATCCTTCTGACTTCTGTTGCATATGTGATCAGGAGGATTGGTCAGAACTCTTGACCGATTGGTAAACTCTGGTTTACCTGATTTTCTAGCCAATAAACTATGCTTTTTGGTCATTGTACCTTTGGCTCCAATTGTGTGTGGGATCTTTGTCAGTGTTTTCATTTTTCAGTTTTATGCTCCATATCTCTTTACTGGTAAGAATCAGTAAAGATTTAGGCCATGCTTCAAATTGAAATTCTAGTTGAGTGTAGGCTAAAAGAGTCATGTAGAAATACAATCTTAGAAATAGAAACAACCTGGGCAATGGCCTGATTCACCCCCCTCCCTTTTTTTTAACAGATGAGGACACTGAGATTTAGTATCAGTCACTTGCTTGAAGCCAGATAGTGACAATGAGACTCATGTGGTTCATGTACTTTAAAAGCTTGTGGTGAGTGATAGTATTTGGAAATGATTCGATATGGGGATGTTACCTCAAGAAAACTTTCTTTATCCACAGATGTATGGTTCTTACCTTTCTGTGTTTCTCTTCCTGTTTCCTGCCTTCTTGTACAAAGCTGCCTCACTATAATTCCATCTCTCTTTAACCAACCATAATGTGGAATGAATTTATATTTTTGTTATTCTTAATGTCACTTTTTTAAAGATTTATTTATTTGACAGAGAGAAAGAGATAGTGAGTGAGAGAGAGCACAGGCGGGGGAGCAGCAGGCAGAGGGAGAGGGAGAAGCAGCCTCCCCACTGAGCAAGGAGCCTAATGCGGGGCTTGATCCCAGGACCCTGAGATCATGACCTGAGCTGAAGGCAGACGCTTAATGGACTGAGCACCCAGTCGCCCCTCTTAATGTCATTTTTATTTGGGTGGAGGAGCAAAACATTTTCTACTTACATCTGTAGTTAAAGTTATTGGCACTAAGGGCCTCGTCTATTTTTTCAGTGGATCATTGGCCCTTGCTAGAGAAAAGGCACGCACTTCAGTATCCCTAAGGATTGGAGAATCAAGATACTTTCCAAGAAGCAAATTTAACGTTGGTGTGTTAATGCTATACAGAAAGGAAAGGAAGAATTCTGTGAATTCTGTGAATGAGTTTTCTGTTTCAATGTTTGTCAAGCACTAAAAAATAGAATTGTTCCAAGCCCGATGAACAGAAGTGCAGTGTTGACTAAAACACATCACAAGAACTTTTAAACACTACAGTTTTGCTTAACATTCAACAGTAGTTTCTTTTCTCCTTTCAAAAGCAATTTTGGAAACAGTAGAGTGTGTTTTAGATATTTAGTTCACCCAAATAATTGAAAGGCTTTAAGTCCCTAGAACTTTGGAATTTAGTTGAGTTTCAAAGTGAGAAATAGGTCTGAAAGTGTAAATTTAATATGCTGGTTGTGTACTCTGATTAATGATACCCACAAAGAATTTATATGATTTTGAAATAGTGGGCTTAGTTATATTTTAGAACATCAGATACTTTTCTGATAAAGTCACGGTAACTACTAAGGTTTGGTATCCTTTCTGTGTACACTCCAAAGCATTGATAGAAGCAGACATTGAGTCATAACTGACAACCAGACACTAATTTCTCTCAGTTCTTGACTTAAACATATAGAAAGGACAAGATTTAAATTTGCTGTCAGAATCACTCTTCCCTTTCTTCACCTTATTTTTTCTCCATCATTGATTCTCTTGTAAATTGTTATTTATTATTTGACTATTGAAATCTTTATCAAAGGACTCCCAAGAATGCTAAATTTTTCCCCGGATAGTCTTCTCATTAAAATAGTTCCTTTTCCAGGATAATTTCTGTGATTTGGATTTCAAATGTTCTTTCTATTCTACTCTCTTTTGTTCCATTCCATTCTAGTAGCTCCCCTCTTTGAAAAAGAGAGATTTCTGAGTAACCAAGCATTAACTTATACCATATTTGGTAGATCAGAAAATCCTGCTCAGGAACTCTTTCTTTCTTTTTTAACCAGTGCTCAGGTACTTATGTGTAGGAGAATTCAGTCTTATATCCAAACAGTTGATTTTTGCTACAAGATATTCTTTGAAAGAGAAAAAAATATATCAGAATTAAAGTTGTCTGCTCACTTTTACTAAGCATTATAATTCAAAAGAGAGATGTAATCTTGGAAAGATTTGCACAATCAGAAATGGGAAAAAAGTATCAATATATTTTTAAAATGACAAAACTTTAGGGGCGCCTGGGTGGCTCAGTTGGTTAAGCGACTGCCTTCGGCTCAGGTCATGATCCTGGAGTCCCAGGATCGAGTCCCACATCGGGCTCCCTGCTCAGCGGGGAGTCTGCTTCTCCCTCTGACCCTCCCCCGTCTCATGCTCTCTCTCTCTATCTCATTCTCTCTCTCAAATAAATAAATAAAAATCTAAAAAAAAATTAAAAAATAAATAAAATGACAAAACTTTAGATTCAAGTTAGCTTTTTAAATCACTACATATCAAGGAAGTCTGAGATTATGAAATAACAGAAATTCAACAAATGAAAGAAATTGTACCTGAGAAAATACAAATAAGGTACTCTTTAAAGGACTTTAAGTATGTTTTCTAACTGCAGAAAGGTAAAGGCAGGAACTTCATCAATGAAACAAGAATAAGAAAGTTAAAAACCAACAATTATGAAAACCCCAGTTAGAATTCCTAGAAATGAAAAAAAAATGTAATTATGAACTCAGTGTGCTGAATAGTATACTGAAGTCAGCTGATGAATGAATCATTAAGCCAAAATATCTTACTGAGGCATTCTCCTGGAATGCAGCACAAAAAGATAATGAAATGGAGAGTACAGGGGTACCTGGGTGGCTCAGGTCGTAACCCAGAGTCCTAGGATCTAGCCCTGCTGCATCAGGCTCCCTGCTCAGCTGGACATCTGCTCCCTCTCCCTCTGCCCCCTCCCTGCTTGTGTGCTCTCTCTCTGTCTCTCTCTCTCTTTCTCAAATAAATAAATCTTTAAAAAAAAAAAAAAAGGAAATGGAGAGTATGAAAGAAAGATTTCTTTCATGTAAAATTGATCCTGAAGTTCAAACAGCTGTTTAGTAGGAATTTTAGAAAGAGAATAGAGAAAATGTAGGAAAGGCTATGTTTGATGTAATAGTAGCTGACAATTTTCCACAATTGGACTCTACCACCAGTTTTCCACAAGAGCAGTCTAAACTGATATCTTGAAACATCATAGTAAAACTTTAGAACTATAGAGAGAAAAAGACCCTAACAGCTCCTAATAAAACCGATTACCTACAAAGGAACAGTAGTAATACTGGCTGTAGTAAGATAATAGAATAGTATCTTTTTAGTGCTAGGGAAAAGTAATGTCTACCTAGAATTTTATGCCTAGCCAAGCTGTTACTCAACAGTGAAGGAAAGAGATAAAAACATTAAAGGCAAAGAATTCAAAGATTAACAACCGTGGGTCTTTGCAGAAAGAACATGTTAAATATATACTCCAAGAAAAATGGACTTTAAAAGAAATAGCAAGATCTTTACTAGCAGGCTTATACTTCAAAGCTTGAAAACAGGCTTATCTAGGGCCAACCTATTTTTGGGTATGAGAACTAATTTTAGTAAAATTCAGAGTTATAAAAAAAGAAAAAAAAGAAATAAGCTCCAGAAACAATGGTGAACAAAGAAATTGGTAAAACATATTGATGAATCTGAATAACTATTAATTGGAAATAAATTTAAATTTATTTTCAAATCAAGGTAGAACTAATTCTAAATGATATGAAGAGAAGGACAGAAAGGAGCATGGATGTGTGTTTGGGAGTGAGAGGGAGAGCAAAGGAAATTCAAGGGGTAACTACTAGCAAGATAGAAATAGCACATACAGTTCAAAATAGTAGAGGGGGAATGGGAAGAAAGGAAATTTGAATGAAACACAAAAGAGCAGAAGAGAAAGAAGATATTTAGATATACTGTGGTAATAGAAAACACAAGTCTAAACTTACAAAATCAAGTTGCATCCTGCTTATAAGAGTTACACTTAAAATAGAAATACCTCAATAAGGTAAAAGTAATAGGATAGAAGATGTACTAGCAAATCTCTACCATTTCACATCTGCACCACTCCATTAGGCTCCAGTCTAGTCATCCTACTTACACTCCTCCCATCGTACTCTCCTCTCCCCACCACTTACCAAGCTACTTTCCACACGGTAGCCACAGTGATCTTTCTAAAGTGTAAGTCAAGTTACACAACTTTGTTCAAAACCCTTCCTACTTAGAATAAAATTCAGAATCCTTACTGAGGCCCAAAAGGCCCTCTGTGATCTGGCCTTCCCATCCTACCTGTCTGACCACCACTGCCCCCCATCTACCACTCTGATGTACCCACAACTGGCAACACACCAAGCATTTTCTACCTTAGGAGTTTGTACTCATTCATTTCATTCTGATCTCTGTTCACATGTCATCTAAAAGAAACCTTTCTTAACCACCCTGTCTAGAATTTCACTTCCGTAACCATCTCATTACCTCCCTTTTTAGGGTGGTAACACTTAAAGCTCTCGGACATAATACATACACATTCACTGATTTTTATTGTCTATCTCACAAGATTATAAGGTAAAGAACTTGGTCTTATTTATACTGTGCTCCCTGGAATGGTGCCTGGCACATGGTAGATGCCTGGTTCATATTTGTTAACTAGGCACTTTATGTGATGTATAATATTATTCCATTTTGAAGAGGAAAAACCTGGGGCATAACAAGAATAAGTAAATGGCTTAAGTTCTTATACTGGTGAATGGTGGTTTAAATGAAATAAATACGAACAAAAATAAAACCGACAGACAATATTGATAATGAAAAGAAATAGCTTTTAAGGCAAATGGATTCAAAGGAAAAAAAGAGAAATGTTTCATATGAGTTAAGGAGCAGTTCAGCAAGGATTTATTTGCATTATAGCCTCTATATTTTCAGGGGAAAGAGCAAAACTTGGTAATTATAAAGGGAAGAAGGAAAACTATGGTTCTGGTAGAAGACTAACCACCAGAGCAAGAAGGCAAAATAATAGATGCTATAAAAATTTTGAATTGCAGTTAATAAGTTCAATACTAGTAGCTCCACATTCATTTTACACGTGCAAAATGTGAACAAAAAAGACCATGCTCTAGGCCACAGAAGAACAAGGTTATGCAGAACATATATTTAACAACAAAGTTCCCAAAAAATTAATAAGAGAAAGCCATAAAACCTGTGAGAAAAATGGGTAAAGAATAGGAACAGGCAATTCTCTAAAGATACACAAATGACCAAAAATATATACAGAGATGCTTAATTCACTAATAACTAGAGAACTGCAAATTAACAGAATGGTATCATTTTTCACACAATCAAATAGTTAAAAAAAATTAAAGCAAACAATAATAATAAGTGTTGCCAGGGTTATATGGTAAGAAGTACTCTTAATTTGCTAATTGTGGATTTATAATTAGCTGTAGCCCCGCAGAGTAACTTGGCTTTACCTTTTTAATCCTACTCTATCTTTTAACCTTATATCCTGAAATCTTCCCCTGGAACTCTGATTTAGTGAATCTGGATGGGGCCTAGAATTTGTAGCTTTAAAAGTCTCCCAGGTAATTCTTACCCTGGAAGTTTGGGTAATAGTTTAGTAGGCTATTTTTTCCCACATTCAAAGGTGTCTTAAAAGAATGCTAGTGTCCACTGAATTAGATTTAACAGGAAGACAAAAATAACATTATAATGGAAAAAATCTGTATGTATACATTTTAATTATACATCTTATAAGAACTGATTCTGCTACTCCCTGCAAAAATCTTTTGGAGAAAGCCTTTCTACAGTCAACACCACAAAAAGTAGCAGTACATTTTGGTGCAATATATGCTATATCTAAAATGTTGTTAACTTGATGGAAAATAAGGTAACTATCTGGAGCTTTAATTTCATGATAGTCGTCATTTTTACACAATTTATTTAGATAGCTCCTGAAGAATGCTTTTGCTATAGAAAGAACAAAGAAGAAATTTAGAGTTCAGCCATGTTTTTCCATTCTTTTCAGAAAAAGATAGTGGTTTTTTCCATTGCCTAAAAGTGCACCAAATCCATGCCTACAGCACAAAATTCAGGCTTCGTATAATCCGGCTTTTCTTCAGCCTTTTCTCTGGATTCTTCAGTAGGAACTCTGCCCTTCTGTATTAAAAGATGTGTCCATTGTCAAAAAAAAAAAAAAAAGATGTGTCCATTGTCCCATAAAAGCCCTCCCCTCCAACCTGAAGTGTCTTATTTCCTCCCAGCTGCATGGACTAACTTCATGGTCCATCTGAAGTTACAAACTTTTGCAAAGCCTTTCCCAATCCCAAGTACTGTGTCCTTTTCTTACTTCTCTGCTTTTTTTAAACTCCTCTATCATTTATGGATTGCTCTGCTTATTTTGGTATTTTAATCATGTTATACTCACTTTTGGCCTTGTTTTGTGTTTAATTATAATATGGTCTAACAATACCCTGTCTTACCTGTTTACCTGTAATATAAGCTCTCTAAAGATTGCATTATTTCTCCAGAGCCTGTATAGCATATAGCAGATCCTAAGTAAAAGATTTGCTGAATGAATAAATGAAATGTGTTTGTTTTAATAAAGACATTGGGATGTCTTGTCCAATTTTTGTTTACATTTTTGTTTTTGTTCATTTGTTTTTACAGTTTAGAGTGTTTATATCTCGGAGGAAACTTCATCAAAGAAATCCCACCAGAATTAGCAAATCTGCCTTCTCTAAGTTACTTGGTATTATGTGACAACAAAATCCAAAGTGTGCCTCCTCAGCTTTCACAGTGAGTAGTTTCAGGCAGGCTAAGTATACACAGAGATCCTTGCTTAGGAATTTTTGTCCTGCATTCATCCCACATGTTTTATATATGTAGAAGAGAATTAGGCATTCTCAAAGTAAATGATACATGAGAATTACAGTTCTGAGGTTTGCTGTGAGTTGAGTTGCTTATTTTTAACATTACTTTTAAATGTGCTGGTTTATGTCTCAAAATATTTGTTTAGCCTGTTTAATCAAAAATAGAGTAATTTGGCATCGATTTCCCCAGGTTTTATGGAATTTTACTGATTTTATATTTGATATGAAACATTCCTATCCTGATGACATAATGTGAAGGATCTTGATTTCTATTGCATTTTAAATCTTTCTTCTTATAGGTATCTGAATGATAAATCATGCTAAAAAATCTTTAAATCTAGCATTTATATTAGGCTAGCACATCGGAATACTGATTATTATTCTACGTTCTCTAAGATCCCATGGGCACATATCATCTCATGATATTTACAAGTCTACACTCTAGTCTAGTTTCAGCTCCTTTTTATTTTACCTCTGTTGGCCTTAATTGCTTATCCTCATGGGGAAATCAAGTTCTTCGCTTAGCTTTCTTGGTGGTTAGCTTGCTCGCTGCCATTGATGTTTGTACTGCATTCGTTGTAGGTTGCATTCACTTCGTTCCCTCAGTCTTCACAATAACTTGCTGACATACCTGCCTCGAGAGATCCTCAGCCTTGTTCATTTGGAAGAATTGAGTTTGCGAGGAAATCCATTAGTTGTTCGTTTTGTTAGAGATTTAACCTATGACCCTCCAACTCTCCTGGAATTAGCTGCACGGACCATTAAAATTCGAAATATTTCCTACACTCCCTACGATCTTCCTGAGAATCTTCTTAGATACTTGAGTTTAGCCAGCAATTGCCCAAACCCAAAGTGTGGAGGTAAGTTAATTCAGTGTATCTGTTTCCCACTCATTTAGCTATTTTTTATTTTGATGATCTAAGTGTTTTTAATTAGTCACCTTCTTTCAGAGAAAGGCATTTAGCCTCTTTCTGTTTCCCTTATCCTTTCACCCTCTTACCAGTAAAGTAAGACATTTCTCCTTCCTCTCTCTTTCTTTTTTTTTTAGTGCTTTACAATTCATACAGAAGGAAAATACCCAGAAAGTCTCATCGTGTCTTGGAATTGTCACAAGATAGTAGAATAAGGCGGTAAAATAAGAGGAAACACAAAGGAAGCGTAAACAGTCCTAACAGTTTAAAAAGAGTCTCCAAAATGTTTAGCCACTTTTTATATTTATTTGATGGACGTTTTCCTAGACCCACTGTTCTGAGTATCAGGTACTTTTATAGATTATGATTCAGGATGTAGGAGAATGGGCTGAATGTGCCAATTTTGGAATGTACCCTGGACTTTTATATTCTTGTAAATCCATGGTTCAAAATTTCTTGAATTTAGGGACACCTGGGTGGCTCAGTTGGTCAATCGTCTGCCTTCGTCTCAGGTCATGATCCCAGAGTCCTGGGATCGAGTCCTGCATCAGGCTTCCTGCTCAACGGGGAGTCTGCTTCTCCCTCTGCCTGTTGCTCCCCCTGCCTGTGCTTGCGTGCGCTCTCTCTCTCAGACAAATAAAATCTTTAAAAAAAAAAAAAAGTCTTGCGTTTATAGCATTTGGAGAGAATTAAAGAAATGATAGACTGCAAGGTAGAGTAAAATAGAAATTCAAAGTACTATTGGAAATCAAAGGAGGGAAAGGATACATGTAATTAGATCTGGAAAAAATGAGCTGATTCTTAAAGTATGAGTTGGATTTTTATATGGTAAGTAAGATTGAGGATAGGAAACTTTTCAGTTGGAGAGAGCAAAATTGTAGACAAAACAGTATGGGGCACAATATTGGATGAGTAATAATTTGGCTCAAATATACAGTTAGGGAAGTACATGAGAGAAGAGTAAAAGATACATTGAGGACCAGTTATGAAGGCCTGAAGTGCCAGGGTGTGTGGGTGGGATCTGGTGACAGAAAGCAGGTCGTTTTATTTTGGCTCTCTCATAAAAGACTGCTTTTTAAAAATCCAATCTCATGGGAGTACAGAAGGGTTTTTACCGTTGTAGGAGAAATGTAGGTGCTGAGGAAATGCTACATCATGATGATCAGAGCCAGATGAGATTTTCCCTGGAACTCCCATCGTGTCTTAAAACTGTTTAAAGGTTAAAAGAGAGAAAGTGATTTAAATTTTTCAAATATTAAAAAATAAAAACGACACTCTTGGTTTAAAAAAGATGACCCTCTAGGCCATTTCTTGCCACTCACTCTTAGAAATGGAAGGTCCTGTGCTGTGCCAGATTAGACGTGCTTAAGCTCTTCTCTGTAGCTCTCCTTTCCCAAGTTGGCTTTTTTTTTTTTTTGGAAGTTTTCTTTATTTATTTGACAGAGAGAGAATGTGCATAAGCAGGGGGAGAAGCAGGCTCCTCCTCAAGCAAGGAGCCTGATGTGGGACTTGATCCCAGGACCCTGGGATCATGACCTGAGCTGAAAGCAGACGCTTAACTGACTTTAGTCAACCACCCAGGCATCCCCCAAGTTGGCTTTAACAGTGGTGAGGGATAGCATTCACACTAGGCCTTATAGCATAATAATCTATGTCTGATCTCTTCTTTGAATTCTAAAAATGGACCTCTACAAGAATTCTCTTTTCTCTTTTAAATGCTTTTTTAATGACTTTTTTAGTATACTGATATGTTATTTATCTTAGAAACAAATATACTTCAAAAATTATTAGTTTAAAAATCGAGATTATACAAAAATTGAACCAGTAATGTTTTCCCCCTCAGACTCATTAGCTATTGAACACTGAGTTAAGCAAAAGTAGATTTATTTTTTTTTAAGATTTACTTATTTATTTTAGAGAGAGAGCTTGCGTGTGTAAGTTGGGGGAGGGGCAGAGGGAGAGAATCTTGAAGCAGACTCCCCACTGAGCACAGAGCCCGAGGTGGGGTGGGGCGTGGGCTCGATCTCACGACCCCTGAGATCACCACCTGAGCCATAACCAGAGTCGAAATCTTAACCAACGGAGCCACTTGGGTGCTCCAGCAAAAGTAAATTTATATTTTGAGAGATTTTTTTGTCTTTGTAGAATCTGAGATCATAGAAATGACAAGGTAGTATTGTACTGTTTTAGCTCATGGTAACTCTGTAATGCTTTATTTTATTTCTTCCTTTTAGGATGCTAACACATTTTGGGGGATTTACTATCAGTATTGATTGACCCGTTTATTGAATTTATATACTTTCCTAAATTGTTCAAAGTAACATACCATGAAATCCCCTTTTTATTTTTATTTTTTTTTTTTTTAAGATTTTATTTATTTGACAGAGAGAGACATAGTGAGAGAGGAAACATAAGCAGGGGGAGTGGGAGAGGGAGAAGGAGGCCTCCCGCAGAGCAGGGAGCCTGACGCGGGGCTCGATCCCAGGACCCTGGGATCATGACCTGAGCCGAAGGCAGACGCTTAACGACTGAGCCACCCAGGCGCCCCAATCCCCTTTTTAAAATATGAATTATACTGACTACAGGATCAGAAAATTAGAAAGTTAGTGGGGGGAAAGATAAATAGAAATCATTGTTACTCCTTTGCTTGAACCACAACTTTTTAGTTTAGAGTCTTATGTGATACACATAGAGTAGTCGGTGCTGGAGGAATCTTAAGAGTATAGAGGTTGAGATTGCTCTGCAGAAGGGTGACGGGACCCAGAGTTGTGGATGTTCCAGTTATACCGAACCCTGAGCCACAGTGATCTCCGCTTTCCTCTCAGCTGTAGCTCTAGTTTTACTTAGCTGAAGGGCCCAGCTCAGGAGCACTAAATTAGGAATCAAAAAAGGTGAATACTCTTTCAGTCTACCTAACAATATATAATTATGTGAGAATCAAGTGAGATCATTCATGAAACAGCTTTGAAACCTGTAGATTTAGAGCCTGTGGAAACGTAAGATGGTATTTTGTTCCTTTTAATTTTCCCTTCCCAGTATATAAGAACAAAATACCAAAAGTGATCTCTTTTCTGCAAATTTTGTGTGTAACAACTAATCTTTTAAGATCATTAAAGGAGTTTTGTGGGTTTTTTTTAAGATTTTATTTATTTGAGAGAGAGCATGAGAGCACGAGCGGTGGGGAGGGGCAGAAGGAGAGGGATAAGCAGACTCCCCCGGGATCATGACCTGAGCCGAGGGCAGTCGCTTAACCAGCTGAGCCACCCAGGCGCCCCTTGGGGGATTTTTTTAAGCTTCTTGACTATAGGGTATTACCAAGGAGTAGCTTGGAGGATGGTGGAAGAACTATACTAAACACTAATTTTTCCATCAGCCATTGTCCACTAAGTTACCCAGAGAAAACAAGCTAAGTAAACAGTATCCTTTTAATGCCAGCTCCCTTTAAGATAAATCTTATCTGGCCTTCTCTTAGTAGCCAAATTGCCATCTAGGCCTTCTAGTATTTCTGTAAATAGCTATAGAAGTAATTGTTGCTTCTACTTAAAATTCACAGAAAAGAAGACTGTATATGACTTTTCTTCAGAATGCTGGAGAAGGAGTTGAAAAATAAATGGCTCTTTGCTTTGTAATGATTATTTTGTACTTAATTCCTTCTTCTCTCCAGGAGTCTACTTTGACTGCTGTGTCAGACAAATTAAATTTGTGGACTTCTGTGGGAAGTACCGCCTCCCACTGATGCACTACTTATGCTCCCCAGAATGTTCTTCCCCTTGCAGTTCCGCCTCTCACAGCTCCACATCCCAGAGTGAATCTGACTCGGAGGACGAAGCTAGTGTTGCTGCACACAGAATGCAGAAAGTTCTTCTTGGTTGAAACGAATGCAGGGTTGTATGAAACATTAAAAGAACTGGGCAAAGGTGATTAGAAAAGAAAACAGACTTTGAAGTTCACTAGAAACCATCACTAGAAACCATATCTTCATCTTGAATGTCCATGAAAGAGTTGGAGATGATGAAAAAGATTTTGCATTTCATCTTCCCATTCAGCAGGAATGAGTCCAGTTCCATGTTTGGATTCTTTGAATATAAATCACTCTGAATGATGGTTTCAGATTTAACTGATTGTTTGCAATTTTCACGCAAGTTTTGCATGAATCACACAGCACAATGGAGCGTTCTGAAGAGCAGTGCTATAATAAACCATGAGTGGTATAACTTGTGACGAGATGAAGAAAGAAATGATCAGAGCTCTAATTATTACCAGAATTGTCCTTGGGTTTAGACTGAACACTATACCTTAACAGAATTAGCCCTCTCTTCCTGTACTGCCATTTGTCTAGATTACAGAGCTATTCAGATAAGCTCACAGATGGGTTACATAGGACCTAACCCTTTCTGACCTACTAACTGGTAAAGTAAGGGATATAACTTCTATGTGGGATTTTAAAACTCTTCAGTTCTGCTCTTTTGTTCTATATGATTGCTGTTTCCTTTCTGTAATCCAGCAATGACTATTGTAGTGCCTTAATCCTAGCAAGATTTTAGAAATTTATTCATGGAATGATGCCAGAGCAGCCTATATAACCTGACATACTATGCAGAACACTTTAAAATATGCTTTAACAGAACTAGGTAAACAGCTGTATATCTGACAAAAGAGCTCATGCCACCTTAACTTGAATTTTTTGTTTAAACATGAAGTGATCCCCTTGTAAGGAAATCACTTTTACACTTACTGGGAAGCAACAGTCTTGATTAATCTTTTCATTGTAAGACAGAATAATAGCTTTTGATTTAAAAATCTGTCTGGTTTCTTTTGACAGAAAAGAGATGTAAGCTTAGAAAGCTTCTTTGTATCTTGCATTAAAGGAGTGGGAAAATGATTTTAAAATTTTTAAGTCATGTCTGACTCCTTTGCCTGTGTGTACTGAACTGTAACTTTCTGTACATTTAAAAAAAAAAACTAGAAAACCATTACAACAAGCCAAATAAAGTTGTGGGCAGCCATCATTTGTGTAAAGACTTTAAAGCAGTCTTTAAATTGTGTGAAATAGAATAATTTCCAAAACTAGTTTAACTATGGAGTACTTTTTGAAAGTAATGTATTGATAACATAAGGAATTTGTTAAATATATCCCTAAAGTGTAGCAGAAAAATGTTTCACAAATTAATTGCTATTAGAAATGACCAAATTTTTATTAACTAGTTAATTTGCAATAAAAATTGAATAGTACAATTATAAGTTGATATTATAAAATACACAACACATACTAGCAGTCATTAGATAACCAATAATAAAATGATGTTTTATTGATAAATGTTACCTATACAATAATATGTAGGTCAGAAACGCATTAGAATATCAGAGGATCTCCCTTCTGGCTTCCTGACATTCACAACTGGGGCACACCATTTCTTAAAAGCAGATTGTTGTATAATAATAATAATGTACATATGTTAGGTTTTTGTCTTGTGTATTATTTTTTACTTTAGAAGAAAATATATTGTAGGATAGTTCAGATTTATTATGTGTTATTCATGAAACATCATGGAGTTTCATGACTGCAGTTGTGAAACGCTGCTATAGAGTGAATCCCTTCACCTTGTTATAATGTAACAATATGTTTTCCTTTTGACTCAGAAGTTTTCTAGGTCTGTAGAACTAATCTAGTATGTTTCTGCTGCCTAACAAAGTAGTACATGGGTGATTAGATCATAAAATGGAAGTAATGTAGAGTCTTTGTTCACTTCTCCATTTGAGCCACAGCAGGCTACGTATGAAATTATGAAAGATAAAGATAACTTAGGCAGTGCCTAAGTGAGAAGCCCAAAGTGTTTTGTACCTGACTTAGTTAATATCAATACATAACATATTTTCATAGAAAATAATGTATTCATAGGAAAATACCCAAATTGATAGGACCAAATTTTTCTGGCTTAAATGCCTCAGTTTACTTCCTAATCCATTACCAGCTTGGGTAATCTTCCAAGAGTTAGTCTTTTTAAAATAAATTGGTAGGTATGTAAGTACAATTAAGTACTTCCTGGCTTCCCAGAAAGAAAGTATACTAATTGATCTTTCACAGATGTAAACAGGTCCAACCAGAAACAGTTTCTGGCCTTGCTATATATGCAGATATATACCATAATATATAATAACTGTTATTCATGTATATTTCAAAATCTAAGATCAGTGTGCAACTGGCTTTAGTGACTTTTACTGAAATCTGCATTTCAGTTGTCAGTTCTATCTTTTTTTTTAATCTTTGACCTAAACTTTTATAAGAGCTGCTAATAATTTCTAAGATTTTCCCTGTTTCTCTTCTCTACCTTCCCTTTTTTTTTTTTTATAACTGGTGATTGTAGAAATTAGCCAGAAGATGAGATAGAAGGGACTTGATAATTTAGAAACCAGGTAATCAACTCCTAAATCATATCGCTGACTATGTATTTGAAATGATAGTCTATCTCTTTAGTTGCTAAGTCATATGTTTGTGTTTAAACTAGTTAATAAACTTTATTTTTGAGACTTAAGAATCTACACTAATTTTCATAATGAAATAAGTTTTTGATATTGCTCCAGTTGGACAATTTCAGTGACCAGAACTTCTCTGGGTAAAACTACTTAACCCACAGCATTAATGTGTTTAGAATGGAATTCTTCAGTGTTAATATTTGAAATGGAAATGGGTACATTGAACATTCTTAGTAATCTTTGTTCCTAGAATCCAATTCTCAGTGTCACCAACTCAGTTTGAATAGTCCTAGGAGTTTAGTAAATAAGATTAGCTGATACAATATTTTGCTTCCATGGTGCCAGGGATTGGCCAACCTAAGGACAAGCTAGTCAAGGTGTTTAGGATTCCTTGTATTTGAATACCAGAGGTAGATCTGAAGGTTAGTTCATATTTCACTTCTAAATGTGTGCCAGAGGAGTCTCTTATTCTGAAATTCTTACATCTGGAACTTTAAATTACCAAACGTAAAAGTAAAGATGCATTGTAAATTGTACCTCAAATTCGAGAAATTTTTATGTCAGTGTAAATAAAAGTTAAAGACAGTCCATATAGTGCAGTGTAATACTGCAGACCAATTCTACCAAACATCGTAAATACCAATTTAACCAAAGGAAGAGAAGGAAAAGGCTGATTGCTGGAGTATTAAATGAAAGAAATCTTTAAAAATAACAAAGGGCAGGGAAAGAGGAGTCACCAGACACCCAGGGATATCCCTGAGCTAAGAAAGTTCTTTAAAGTAATAGTGAATTGTTTTAAAATCCTGAGGCCTGTTTGCCATCTGAAAGCCTTTATCACTAAATTTCTTTGGTTTCTGCTACTGGAAGATTATCCACATCCCTCCATAATGATGGGCCAGCGAGTAAATAGGATTTTCTTACAGCCAACCTTGCTCTTTCCAAAGGGAGAAAGTAATACCTCATTCACCTGGAATTTGTGGTACAGCGTTGGTTAATGTTTACCTTGTCACTATGTAAAAAAGAAAAAAATATTAAGCAAATAATTAGTGCAAATAAAGTTTGATCTTTTAAAGCATTTTAGCAGTATTTATTTGTATAAAAAGTTATTCTACATAAGACCCTTTGTAGGCAAAACAGTTATAGAATGTGTATATAATTAGTTAAGCTGCATTTATCTAGAAATACCTAATTTTTACTTAAATGATCCCCTCTCTTCTTACCCAAAGTAGATATTTTATTATGTTAGTGTAAATATTACTCCCTCTTTAGTCCAAAATAATCAACTTTTAAGTTGTGCTGGATGTTAACAGAAAGGCTGATGTGCATGTTTTTAGGCAACATGATCTGGGATGCATAGTTCCGATTCCCTCTGTATAGAAAAGTACTTGACTGTCACTGTTTCTGTATTAAGCACTCTTCTCTTATAACATTAATTTGATAAATTTAATAGCATCCACTTTTGTATTTTCATGATAGTCGTGATCTTTTTAAAGGCAGCAGTATCTTCATTTATTCTCAGAAAGGTGTGCCTTAAAACCTCCACTGTAGACCCAAAGTCTGGGGAACTGTGTCATTTAGTAAGTTGTTTGTGACGGGTAATGACCCTTTGCATTTGACTCTAGGGAGAAAGAATGTGAGTGACCTGAGGGATTCCTTCCCCTAAAACAGGGCCTAATGTCTATGAGTCTAGGGCTTTTGTAGAGGGAATCCCAATCATGCATACTATCGGAGAAGGTCAAGCCATAAGGATCAGAGTCCCCTGAGATAAAATCAGTGAGAAGGTATATTCTTTTTTATATTATAAAGAAAATTTATCTGCTACCACTAAGGGATGACAGCAGTTCCCAACCAACTTCATATTAATAGCATGACATAAAGATACTATTGCTGTGAGGCCTAGGATATTTTGTGAGTGGTTTCTTTGTAACACTAGCCTGCAAGGGGCTATGTTTTAACATTTTACTTGTAAATATCTCCATTTTTTCTATCATTCCTTGGTCCATATTTGCTAAGAATTGATGTAGAAAATAATAGTTCACTAACAACAAACATTGAACAGTCACAGGGTAATACTGATTTGGGTGCTACTAGACTTTTACCTCAGATTTGTCAGTCTCAATTTATCCTAAGGTATAGTATACAATCTAGTAAATATTAAAATTTATGAGTTTAATGGAGGTTATGTATATACCGTTGTACCAGAAAGCCATGGTTAGATTAAGTGCATTTACCAGAACTTACTTTCTTTGGCTGTGAATAAATTGGATAAAACTGTTTTATTCCGAGTTGTGGTTAGAAGAAATTGGGATAAGATTGAAAGTGCTATTGCTGGTACAAAAATATTACTAAATTGGTTAATTCTTATGTCTACAACTGATGTTTTAAGAGAATCCTTTCTTAAACGGTTGGCATTGATGTATGTTATTGAAAAGGAATATTAACTTCAACAATCACTTTACAACAGTACAATCAAGGAGAGCCCTGTGTGCCTATAATTGGTGTTTGTTGCATTTCTGAGCCCACTTGTTTTCATGAGAAACAAAAATATTATGGGAGAAATATTTTAAGTTACCAGTATTTTAACTTTTTATAAAGTTTGGGACTTTAAAGTATTGACAAAGGATATTAAAAATATATGTACTTTTACTTTAGTCAAATTACTAAATTTCATTGTCTTATTCCTTAGTTTTATGTATTTGAAGTCTTGTGAATTAGGAATATCTATATAAGTATCTAGATACTTAAAACTTAATGATAATAAATGTAATTCAATGTGACTCAACAATTAAATTTTCTTTTCAGGACAAGAAATACTTAAGTGCATCAAATTTATATATTACTTTGTAATGGTAAATGCTCTAAAAAAATATTTAAGCTACTTCAATTCTATACCTCCTTTTTTCCCACAGGACACACAAGAAAATGTGATGTTATATTAACCCTCTGTGTGAATTTTGCCTTATTAAACATTGTGCCTTATTTTATTAAAAGTGCTTTCTTGGAATTTGAGCCTGTATTCTGAAAAGTAACAGTATTTTAACTGAATTGAATTTACTTTAAGAAAATCTAAAATCCTTAAAATGTTGGTATTGGCCTGATTACTTGCTGTACCACTGCTCATCTGTTTGAATTTCTTCAATACATGAATACATACATTAGGCATGCATTAGCCTTTACTGTCTTGCTAGATTCAAAGGGTAAAAGATGAATTAGACTAGGTCCCTTTCTACCATAGTTCCTTCTGCTTCCACAGTCTTAACCGACTTATGGATGCATGCTCAAGTAAGAAGTTGGTGAGGTCATTTTGCTAATGAAGGTCAGGTACTTAATTGTGTTTAATCTGGAATCAAACAGCTGTAACACAGAGTCGTACTGACTGAGCACATTAATATAGTACTTAGTATTGTTCTTTAATGCCATTATGTTGGTGACCCTATAACACCTGACATTCTTCTAGATTCCAAAATTTGGAAGAATTGTGGCTGGTTGTGAGTTGAGTGAGGTAAGCAGAATAGGTAGGAAAGACACACTGCAAAACAGGTCGTGTTTCAAATTTGCTGACAGGGAAAAAGCGTAACACTTCCCTGGTTAGTATATAGGAGGACTCCTTGGTGCAGAGAGGCTCAGAAATAGAAGGGCACAAGAGAAAAACATCAGGTGTAACTCTGATCTCTTTCCTGTCTTGAGGATAAAGCTCCCTAACCTGCCCAGTTGGGGATGTTCTTAGAATAAGTGTCAGACGAAAATTTTTCTTTAATGGCTTCTCTAATTGTAGATACCAAATAGGAAGCCCGAACACCCCGGGGGACGGTGAGACTCAGACGTGTCCTATCCGTCACAGCGGTCACTGTCCACTTCATAAGCAATTCCTTCAGCGTTCTCGAGAATGTTAGAGCTAGAAGAAACTTTCAAGGTCTGAAATTAACTCACTTGTTTGAGATGAAAATATTTAAGCTCAGAGAGACTTGCCCAGGATTCCAAACGTCTTGAGTCCTGAATCCTATAGCCTCTGGATTCCCGCCTCACTCTCACCCACTGTAGCGTCCTGCTTGCTTGCTTTAATAATGTGTTCTGTGACAAGTCAGTAACAGTATTAGTACTGCATTGTAACTTGGCAATCAGCATCAAAGTGGTGCTCTCTGCATTACCTCTCAGCGTATTCAGAATTTTAGAGCTGGCAGGAAACTGGAGATAGGAGTAAATATCTGGGTAGCTTGTTACTGTTTACAAAGCACATTCAAGAACCTACTTCATTTAATCCTCATGACAATTGAGTTAGGACTAGATTTGGTAAAGTTTGTTGGTATGTTTTCCCTCTTCTGAGTTTAAAATTAATAAATTGACATAGACTTGAGAGAGGGATCTAAATACCAGCTTTATCATAATTGGGCTTCTTATATTCTCCTTAAATTGAATGTAACCAACGAAAACCACAGACTTCTCCTGCAGGGGCTGTGCACCCCTGGGTGGCATTCCACAAGGCTGACCATAACACACCGTAGGTCCAAAGGAGGTCAGGTCAAATTGTAAACCCTGTAGTGCTGCCCAAAAGAGAAAGCTGGAACAATTATCTTCAGACTTTGGCCATCTAAGGAGATGAATTAGTCTTTCTCCCACAGGGAGGAAGAAGATGCTAGAAAGCTTTCTTCTGGGCAGCTGTTCCTCATTCTGGTTGCACATTAGAATCATCATGGGGGCTTTCAAACAAATGCACGGATCCCCATCTCCAGACCAACTGAAACCTGATCTCTAGAGATGGGGTTTGGGCATCAATAGTTGTGGAAGCTCCCAAGTTGTAGGTGACTCAGTTGCCCAGCAAAGATGATAATTCTCAAGTGAAAGTCCCATCATGGTAACTTGATGTCAGTGGACTGGTTTTTAACAGATGAAGAAATGGGCCCAAAGTGATGAAGTGAGGTGCCCAAGTTCTCTTAAATAAATAGTGACAGAGCCGGGGCTAGAATCCATTGTGTGTGTGTGTGTGTTTTAATTGAACACTTACTTTAGACCAGGCACTGACTGCTAATCTAATGTTCTTTGCTTCTCCTTGTCAGTCACTTTCTTTTCTGAACTGAAAGTGCTTGGAGGATATAAGACGGTATGTTCAAGTAGATTGGTCATATTGAAGCCAGCTTCGACTACATCAGAATGTCTGCTGAATCATGGAACACAAAAGCAGCAAACAGATCAACTTTATCAGAAAAATTCATCGAAGTATGGCTTGGTCAAATATTTCAGGTTACAGCCACAAGGCAAGAGATAACCTTTCCATGGGTGAGGAAAAACTTTGCAAGTTGTGTACTGCTTCTTTTGACCACAGATAAACACCTGGCTAACATCCTAAGCAGCAGTGAGGAACAGGTTGACATTACCAGGAAAGATAAGAAAATGTAGACATCTGCCCAGAGGAAAACACTATAGGCAACCCATAAACATAGATTCCATGTTAGGAAAGTAAGTTCAACTCAACTACACATTTTTATAAGCACTATGCACAATTTCAACTGCAGTTTCTTTTAGATCTAGCTATGAGACCGTATGATTATTTTACTGCTTAAATCGGAATAATAAGGCACTCTTAAGATCTTTGTAAATATGGAAGATTTAAATGGAAAAGTAAACTTATTCATGAAGCCATGGAAACTCATGGAAAAGAAAATATTCTTAAAATGTTATGAGTATTTTCTTCCTACAAATAAAGACTGGGTATAAAATGTTGCTTTGGGTGTTTTAAAAGCTGAGCTAAAAAAAAAAAAAAGCTGAACTAAATAAACATGAAATAAGTTTAACTTGGAAATTAAGCTTATGTTATAGCTATAAAGCTACAATTTTAGAAGTTTGCCATTATTGTTAATTTTAACCTCTGGTAACCTTGACAGTGGTCTCCAGGGCTCTTCCTGATTTTAAGTCCACAGTTATCTGTGCTTAAAACTCCTTTCTGTTTTGGTAGCTCTCAAATATTTGTAAGTTCTTGCATCACTCCCTAGACCCTTTTGAATCATCTCTGTTTAGGTCTTTTCATCTTTCCTCCTAGGCCAATGCACATGCAGCCAGAGGCAGAGGTAGTAATGAGAACTTGACCCCTGAATCTGCAATTAAAATTCTACCCTTTATGTAACTTAACAAGGGTTTGTTGTAGTGGATGACATGTCAATGGGCAGCTTGGAAACAACCTTTTTTATTTCTGCAGAGGGCAGCATGTCATACAAAAAAGGCATGTGTGCAACTGACTCATGGATAAGAAGGAATCAGAGGAATACCAGGCGCATATGACTTAGGCTGTGGCATAAATTATAATTAATTTTTAGCTCTGGCTTGCTCTAGGAATTTCTCTCTGGTTCTAAGTAATGGCAGAACCAAAGATGTAGCAGTGAGAGTGTGAGAATTCACCATCACACCACTTTACACAAGAGGACAATTCAACTCTCAGGGTGAGAACCCAGCTTATCTTTAAATACCTCAGAGAAGATTTTACTTCTTTAGCAATTGTGAAGCTTAACAACCTTAGAGGAAGTATTCCTTAAGGTTCCTGTGATGTGTACTGGCCAGATTAGATATGGAGGTGACTTTTAAATCATTTATGTCAGCATAGGGGCAGAGGGACACTAATCATACACGTCTGTAAGTGTGTGTGCATGCGTGTATGCACATACAGGCACCCGTGTACATGCACGCTACCCATGATGCAGTTTTTGTACCTCTGGCTCCAAAATGTCGCTGCTTCCTTCCTCTCAGCACTTTTTTCTGTCCTTTCTTCCAATCCAAAATTCCTCCCACTGCTCTAAAAGCCAGTGAGTCACCCTTCCAACAGTCCCTACCTTGTGTTTGTGCAACACCTATTAGGAAGAGAAAAATGAGAAAACAACAAGATCACAGCTCTATCCAGTTGAGACATAAGTCCAATAATATAAGAACTAGACATCAAGCTGTGGTAAGCTGAGAAAAGAGAATTCTTCACAGTGAAGTTTTCAACATTGACACTAAGAAGCCGCCAGACTAGTGTAAGTACAGGAATTGATGTATCTAGGAGGAGGAAAACAGGACAAGATGCTTCCAGACCACTCCTGGCTGAGTGTTTCATGGATGCCCCAGTAAGGAAGGTTGAATCACAGTGAAGTTATGTAATATTATTTGTAAGTTGCTACATACAGGTATGTACATGTTAATTGTTGTAAACTTATCCCGAAGAGAAGATTCACTCTTTTACATTATTTTTGGTTATCCTTATGAATTCTCAGGTATTATCATCTCTTCAAGGTGCTGTTAAGGAGAAGAACTTGAGGGGCGCCTGGGTGGTTCAGTTGGTTAAGCAACTGCCTCTGGCTCAGGTCATGATCCTGGAGTCCTGGGATTGAGTCCCGCATCGGGCTCCCTGCTCAGCGGCGAGTCTGCTTCTCCCTCTGACCCTCTCCCCTCTCATGCTGTCTCTCATTCTCTCTCTGTGTGTCAAATAAATAAATAAAATCTTAAAAAAAAAAAAAAAAGGAGAGGCACTTGAATTGGGTCAAATCAGTATTTATATTCAGATAAGCCCAAATCCTTGTACAATCCCACATGCACATACACACACAGGCACGCATGCAAATATACACATCTGCACACCCAAAGATTGAAGTTTGATCACTGGATGCAGAGAGCAAAATGTGTCTGTCACATTCACCTGACCATGTGGCCCAGAGAGGAATAAATGAGCTGCTAGGTGATCCTGCAGGCAGTGCTGGGCTTACTGTGTGATAGGATTGGGTTTTTTTTTTTTTCCATCCTTTGGAAGATGCAATGCCAAAGGCATCATTACAGCAAATCTACCAAGAAGTAGATTTGACATAAAGCAGATGTTTCTTTCCTCAGAGCAGGATTTGAAGGGATCTGCTTATCATTAATAAGCCTATTACCCTAATAAGGGTCATTTTCCTGTGTGTGCCCTTTAGCCCCAGATAGCTAGCATTGAATCTCTTTTCTTTATGCAACCGTACATAAGGGCAAGATTAGGCAATCCTTCA